GTCTTCTAGGGTGCATAGTGATAGCCATGGGTCTGTGATGTCTAAGACTAAATCATCAGCAAATAGGGTAATTTTGTATTCTCTATCTTTGATTATTATGCCTTGGATTTGGAGATTAATGATATTTAGATTTTAGCATCTATTTTTTTCCTTTCTGCTAGTATGTTCATTTTCTAATTGTCTAATTTTAGTAATTAAATTGTTCTCTCATTTTTTGGTAGGATGAAGCCACAGAAATAAATTTCCCCCTAATTACCACCTTCATTGCATCCCAAAACATATCTTAAGAGACTCCACAATTTGCCTTACATTTAAAGTAATTCTGTATTTCAAGGTCAATGTCCGTATATGATTTGTTATCTAATAAAAGCAATTTATTTAAAACTCATTTGGGTCCTCTGCAATCACTTTCCTTGTTAAGTAAAAGGCAATCCATCCACATATGGTCTGACCATATTTTAAAACCTATTTTTGATGAGGAAATCTGGTTGATTAAATTTTTAGAAATTAAAATATAACCTATTATTTTATCAATATTGTGTCTAGGAGAGTAATATGTATAATCACACTCACCCTTATGTTGATGGTGCCAAATATTGCAGAGGGTTTTTTTTCAAATAGGTTAGCAAATTCTGATTTTTCCTCCCCCTCTTTCTTTCTCTGCCCCCTCCTCTTTTGGTTGATGTCTTTTTGGGAAGGCTTGGTCTAAGTTCAAATTGGCCATGTAGTTAAAGTCACCACCAATAAGAATTTCACCTTCATGGAATAGCTCAAGTTTTGTCAGTACTTTGTCAATAAATTGGAGTTGGTTTTCATTGGGGGTGTATATAGAAGCTAAAGTTATTTTGCTTTCATTCAATGTGCCACTCTATTCTGTCCACATCCTTTTTAAAGTGAGGTCTCCAGAACTGCACATAATACTCCAGATGTGGCCAAACCAATGCAGTGTACAGTGGGGCTATGACATCTTGTTATGCCTTTCTTGATACACCCCAAGGTCACATTTGACTTTTTTGTCACTGCATCACACTGACTTCTCATATTTAACTTACAGTCCACCCATACCCCAAGATCTTGTTCACACACACTGCTACCCAGAACTGTATTCCCCATCCAGTATGCATGTTCCACATTTTTGTTACCCAGATGTAGAACTCAGCACTTATCTTTGTTAAATTGCATCTTGTTCACATCCGCCCACTTTTTCAGTGTGTTCAGATCTCATTGAATTCTATTTCTATCTTCTGTTGTGTTTGCTGCTCCTCCCAATTTGGTGTCATTTGCAAATGTAATGAGTAGCCACTCCACACCTTCATCCAGATCATTTATAAAATTTTTGAAAAGTAACGGGCCCAGAACTGAGCCCTGTGGCACCCCACTGGACACCTCCCTCCATTCAGATGAAATGCCATTGACGACTACTCTCTGAGTGCGGTTCTGATATGGTGAAGAGTCATATATTCTGGCTTCTTGAAGGATTTTGTCTTTGGTACGATGATTTAAAAAACTTACCAAGATGTGTGGAGGCTTAGAACATGAGTTAGATGGAGGACCCTGTCTGTGGGTTCGTTCAATAATGGGAGTGATACCTTCTTCTAAGTCCAAAGTAGTTGCTAATGTAGGACAAGTGAAAATTGAATGTGATTTCCTCTGACATGTTTATATGCTGACAGCGGTCACTGTGCCTTTAAAAGTTTAATTATAATAGATTCAAATCTTGGTATGTAACCTAGAATCTTCTGGTCAGAGAAACTTATAGTAGAATATATATTTTATAACTGCACTTTTTGTATATGAAGATATTAAGGAAAAGCATTATTAGAGGCCTCTGGAGATAGAATTAGGATGCAATAAGAATGGAATGTGTATTCAAGAAGCTGCAAGGACGTCAAGAGCGAAGTTGAATGTGAATCACAACCCTTATCACCCAGCTCCCCAGAAGGAAAGAGGGACTAGCTTCACTAAGGTCAGAAAGGATCTCAGTGTTCCCTAATGTTCCCATTGTCCTGGAGAACAGATAAACAAATGCAATCACTGACAATACATAACCAGTATAAGGAGAGACCAATACTAAGGTTTAAAGTCAAATTATGCTTGTATGATGCCTGGTACCAATTAGAGACCTTTTAATGTGGAAACTATATGTGATGTCACTTGGGGTATAAGACCTTCTGCCCTTCCTGGTTATGGCAGAATACAGCTTTGGAATTGCTGAAATGCAAAGGCACTCAGCCCTGTATTCCCTGTTTCAATGCATTAAACAGATATTCATCTAACTCGTTTGACTGTGTGTTTCCCATTTGACAACGGGAGCACGCAGGCAGATTTGTGTATCACTAACCACAATGAAATAAAAATCACCAGATCAGTTGAGTCCTCCTATGTTTCTTAAAGCCTCTAAATTTCAGACTGTTATATTTTCCAGGTTTGATAGTTGCTGTTGCAATTCCACTTGTAAGCGTAGATCCAACACAAGAGCTGTGTCCATGGTTTGAGAGACTGTATTCAGAGTGTTTTTAATCTCCTTGAGTTGATCAGTTATAGGATCCACTAGTTTTTAAAAGATTTTGGAGATATTAAGTGCCAAAATCTCCATGGAGTCAAGAAGATTTTTTTTTTGTTAACTGCATGTCTTCTAAACGAACCATCATCATTTTGGATTCCAAAGTCACAGCAGTCTTCAAATGGGAAGTAGGTTCTAGCAGAAGGGGAAACCAATGTGTGTGGGGGGGTAGTCTTACCTACCCTGGGCTTCCCCATGACAATTGGGCTATGGGATCAGGAGATCTGACTTCAGGCATCCACCATTATACACATGGCACCCCACACCCTAATTAGGAGTCATCTTGATGGTCAAACAGACCTTTTAAAAATCAAAACTCTTTTTCATAGATCATAATTGGAGAGAAAAAAATGAGTATATGTACAGCAGATAAAAACAGGTTTATCATTCCTGCCTGAAAGAAAGCTATTGCCTGTTTACAGAGTCAGTTAAGTTGATCTATTTCTGTCTGCTCACTAGATTCAGGTGGGTAGCCGTGTTGGTCTGAAGCAAAAGAACATAGTTTGAGTCCAGTTTGGCACCTTTAAGACCAAATATCAACAATGGGGTAATAACACCATGTATAGACTCCACCAGTCAAATCTATAATCAAACATAGTGCATAAACAACAAAAATTAAAGAATCACGTGTCAATGTCTCTTAATGGCTCATTCAATAACTATTCATCTATTGTTAGACATTCATCAACAAGTCATTACGTAAGTTAAACAAATTCACAACTGGAAAATCACAAGTATCAAATGGAAAGTCACAAATATCAAAAAAAGCCTTGTACCTGTATCACTTAATAATACATTTAATCTTTCCCACAAGAGGATATAATATAAGGTATTTAGTAAACATAAAGTATATCAAATACATAAAATATAAATATCAAATACTAGAACACCTATACCCCATTGGTAACTCAACAAAATTGTAAGAATCGTCGAGGGTGGTGCTCCATTAAAAATTTCTTGTTGTTATCATGCATGAACTATGTAATTCTGGAAAATTTCTCCAGTGTTGCGAGTGGGCGACTCTTGAAAAAAACTGTGAAACTGTGCTTTACTGGTAGACCATGGATTTCACCCTTATATTGGATATTTATATTTTATGTTTACTAAATATCTTGTACTATAGCCTCTTGTGGGGAAAATTAAATGTCTTAGTATTGTGTGATACAGGTACAAGGATTTTTTTGATATTTGTGACTTTCTATTTGATACTTGTGATTTTCCAGTTGTGAATTTGTGTAACTTACGAGATGACTTGTTAATGAATGTCTAAATAATAGAGGAATAGTTATTGAATAAGACATTAAGAGACATTGACACGTGATTCTTTCATTTTTGTTGTTTATTGCACACTGTTTGATAAAATATACACATACTTTATAGATTTTACTTGTGTAGTCTGTATATGGCGTTATTACCCCATAACTGATAGTCTTGACTGATATGGAGGAGGTCTGTTTGCTTTGCTTACCTTTAAGACCAACAATATTTAATTCTGGGTGTGCTTTCGTGTGCATATACACTTCTTCAGATACACTGAAACAGACTTCCTCAAGCCTTACGTATGGAGGGGTTAGTTGACAGGAAGGGCTAGTTAGAGTCAAGATGTATAAGTAACTTGGCGATAATCACCCAGTTATTTATGCATCTTGACTCTAACTAGCCCTTCCTGTCAACTAACCCCTCCATACGTAAGGCTTGAGGAAGTCTGTTTCAGTGTATCTGAAGAAGTGTATATGCACACGAAAGCACACCCAGAATTAAATATTGTTGGTCTTAAATGTGCCACTGGACTCAAATGCTGTGTCTACTCACTAGTTAATTTTTATTCCACCCTTACAAAAAGATGCTCAGGGTGAAATACATAGTTCTCTCATTTTATCCTCACATGAGCCTTGTGAGGTAGGTTAGGGTCTGGAAGAATGACTGGCCCAAGATCACCCAATAAACTTCATGGCAGCATAAGGATTTGAACCTGGGTCTCCCAGATCCTAGTCCCACACTTTATCCACTATATTTCCCTGACTAGTTTCATGGTATCTGTGGATTTCTGTATCCTAATGTGCCCCACTCACAATTACTGTTATTTGTGCAAATAAGTCTGCAGACAGACTGTTTTGAACCAGTTGGGTTCACGGGAACCAGATGAATTGCAGCAGTTCAGCAGTTTCTGTGTACCAGTTCAGTCCTCCATGTCTTCACTGCAAGGGGCCTCGAGTCACAAGGCTTAGAAGAAGCCCTGACCCTGGAGAGCTGCAACAAGTCAGAATAGACTATACCGACCTAATGTACAAGTATTTCATGTGTTCATTCCTGAAAGCTCAAAGTCTATACGGTAAAGGATGTTTCTTCTAAAAGTTGACTCTGCTGCAGTATTGCTAGTAAACAAAAGGAGGCTGGCTGCTAAAACGTATAATTGTTAGGTTGTTGTTAAACTTACCATTGGATCATAGTCCTTTAGGAAATTCCAGTTCTGATACCTTTAGAACAAAAGCAAAGTTTGTTTTAGTTTTGTTAACAAAATATAAAAATGCCACATTTTGAAAGAGTAGCGTTAAGAACCACAGAATACACATAATATTGAGACTAACTTCACTCAAGTGTCTCTTGAACTCCCTGCCTGTGGTCTACAGATGTACACATCATTTTTCCTCCCATGGGGCAGCACAATGTTACTAGCAATCCTGCATCCAGAATGGGAGCTCATCAGTGCCATTTTAAAGCCTCAGTCAGCAAAACCCTGAGAAGGCCACTTTTGAGCAATAACAATGAAGTGGAAATCCTGGAACTTTTATATATAAATAACAGAAGCACAGTTGAATTGCACCTGGAACTCATGGCTTTGCCTCCCCAGGTGCCTCTCCATGCCATTATCCCACTAACATCTGGAACCATACAAACCACAACCAACTGCTGACTTCACCAGGGAAAGCACACAGATTGCAGATTGCAGAAAGCACATAGATTCATAGACTGCAGGAAACATATCCACTATGGGTTGCTGATCTGATTGTACTAAAGATAAATTCGTGGAATGTGTTTCCCCCCCCCCCCCCCCGTTTAAGGAAACTTTATTGCTTTTATGGCACCCCACCCCATGATCTCTTTATTTGTGTATAATTGAAAGCAACAATTGTAATTAGGAGAGGCAGACAAAGCAGAGAGACAGCCTAATTTTTTATATCTGCATTGAAGCAATGTACATTAAAGGCATTACAAGGATTATGGAGGAAAAACGGAAAAACTGCCTGTTGATTCCATCACAATCAGACTTTAATCTTTCAATTTTTTCAAAAAAAAAAAAAGTGACGGAAGGGAGGGGAGAGTATTCTGTGCCCTGAAAAATATCTCATCTGCTCCCAATTCTTCCCCCTGCCAACACACACACTACCTTCCTCCTCATTTAGCATGGATATGTCGGCATAACCAGCTCTGCTTTATTGTTTATTTCTTTATTTCTTCTTTAAACGTAGTTTATCCCTTACTATAATGGCTATTGATGGGGGAAAGACTTTTGAGAGAAACAAGTCTCCTCAGCCTCAAAAAAAAATAAGGTGAGGGGGGGGGACACAGAACAGCAGTGGAGATCCTCTCTGCAGCGACAAAAAGAGAACTGAGGGAGTAGTGACCCTCCTCCTGGTCATGTGATGGTTTTGCCGGGAAAACACCAGAGGGAAGAGAAAGGTTTGAAAATCTTTTCCATGGCTGGCCTGCGCACACGTAGTCCCCAGTGTGTGCCTGTACAGAAGCCACGACGATGAATAAGGTTGGCAAGCCTCTTTCCATCAGGCCCTCCTTCCTCATCCTGCCCTGGAAAAAGGTTCTTCTATTGGGAAGTAGAGTTGTTAATCTGGACGGGTTGTGTTGTGGGGTTTTTTAAGTTTACTGTAATTTTGGACATTCTTGGAGTGTTAACAGTGTTTAAATCTCCATGAGGACTGCTTTGAGGGGGATGGTGTAAAAGCCCAAATGGAATGAAACAGCCCGGAACAGGAATTCAGTAAATAATATATATTGCTGCCAACCACACTGTTAACAGGCACTTGAGAAAAGTATTTAAGAAATGAAAAAATAGAAAGTTTATGCTT